CTGTCTGTCTGTCTGTCTGTCTGTGTGTGTGTGTATGTGTGTGTGTCATTATGAAAATGAATCCTATACACATGTAAGATACATTTATAGATATAAATGGATTACTGTATTGTTGCAGACGTGTGTGTGTGTGTGCTCATGTGCCTTTCTTTCAGCATGTGTGTGTGTGTGTGTGTACCTTTCTTCATGTGTGTGTGTGTGTTTATAAGCCCCTCGCCCTGGTAGAGGCATTCCGACATTCTCTCTGTTCTAGAACTCTCATGCGGAAAATCCACAGCTAAAATAAGCTTTATGTTTCTATCCTGATTTTTAATTGAAATTTAGTGCAGAAATAATGATCCTGATGTCTCCACAAGGACCAGGCTGTTAATGGCGGGGAGGGATTAACGAGGAACAGTTAATTAATGTGGAATTATCACACCTCGTTATCACACAAGTCTGTACACACCATCAATCTGTTAGGGGTTCCACCTTTACTCAACCCTGCAGTGTGTGTGTGTGTGTGTGTTCTCATGTTTACAATTTGGGAGTGTGTGTGGGTGTGGGTGTGTGTATGTGTTGTGTGTGTGTGTGTGTGTGTGTGTGTCTGTGTGTGTGAGTGTGGGTGTGTGTATGTGTGGGTGTGTGTGTGTGTTCTGTGTGTGTGTGTGTCTGTGTGTGTGTGTGTGTGTGTGGGTGTGTGTTGTGTGTGTCTGTGTGTGTGTGTGTGAGTGTGGGTGTGTGTGTGTCTGTGTGTGTGCATGCATCCATGTGTAACATGGATGTCTAACCTCTGGTCCCTGTAGTGCGGACGGGGTCTACGAGGTCTCCTTCTACTGCAACGCCGTGGTGTCCAACACAGGAGACATCTTCTGGCTCCCGCCTGCCATCTACAAGTCAGCCTGCGCCATCGAGGTCCAGAACTTCCCATTCGACCAGCAGGTAGCTATTGATGTTGTTGTACTTTGGTTTTTATTGTTGCTGTCTTTGATCTATGCTTCTGGGGGCTGTTACAGAAGGCTGGATCAATGAGAGCCAGCTAGCTGTCCAAAATTGCTTGAAATCACTTCATCATTTTGAGTAATATAGTTTAAATTGACATGGTATAATTGACTCGACAACAACAACCAATATATAAATTCAGTGTTCTTAATCAAACAGAAAAGTTATATGTAGCTGTTTATCAAAGTTAGCTGGCTACTGTTTACTGGAATACCCCACGGATGTGACTGATGCTGTCTGTGTGTCTGATATGACTGATGCTGTCTCTGTGTCTGATGTGACTGATGCTGTCTGTGTGTGTGATGTGGCTGATGCTGTCTGTGTGTCTGATGTGACTGATGCTGTCTGTGTGTCTGATGTGACTGATGCTGTCTGTGTGTCTGATGTGACTGATGCTGTCTGTGTGTCTGATGTGACTGATGCTGCCTGTGTGTCTGATGTGACTGATGCTGTCTGTGTGTCTGATGTGACTGATGCTGTCTGTGTGCCTGATGTGACTGATGCTGTCTGTGTGTCTGATGTGACTGATGCTGTCTGTGTGTCTGATGTGACTGATGCTGTCTGTGTGTCTGATGTGACTGATGCTGTCTGTGTGTCTGATGTGACTGATGCTGTCTGTGTGTCTGATGTGACTGATGCTGTCTGTGTGCCTGATGTGACTGATGCTGTCTGTGTGCCTGATGTGACTGATGCTGTCTGTGTGTCTGATGTGACTGATGCTGTCTGTGTGTCTGATGTGACTGATGCTGTCTGTGTGTCTGATGTGACTGAGCTGTCTGTGTGTCTGATGTTGACTGATGCTGTCTGTGTGTCTGATGTGACTGATGCTGTCTGTGTGCCTGATGTGACTGATGCTGTCTGTGTGTCTGATGTGACTGATGCTGTCTGTGTGTCTGATGTGACTGATGCTGTCTGTGTGTCTGATGTGACTGATGCTGTCTGTGTGTCTGATGTGACTGATGCTGTCTGTGTGTCTGATGTGACTGATGCTGTCTGTGTGTCTGATGTGACTGATGCTGTCTGTGTGTCTGATGTGACTGATGCTGTCTGTGTTTTGTCTGCTGTTGTTTTGACATTAAATTTGCCCTCTGGGATAAATAAAGTATCCATCCATCTTTCTATTTAACTATCCATCTAGAACTGCACGCTCAAGTTCCGCTCGTGGACTTACGACCACACCGAAGTCGACCTCATCCTCACCAGCGACTTCGCCAGCCGGGACGACTTCACGCCGAGCGGCGAGTGGGACATCGTGTCGCTGCCCGCCCGCAAGAACGAAGACCCCAACGACATCACCTACCTGGACATCACCTACGACTTTGTCATCAAGCGCAAGCCTCTGTTCTACACCATCAACCTGATCATCCCCTGCGTCCTCATCACCTCTCTGGCCATCCTGGTGTTCTACCTGCCCTCTGACTGTGGAGAGAAGATGACTCTCTGTATCTCTGTCCTCCTGGCCCTCACTGTGTTCCTGTTGCTGATCTCTAAGATAGTACCGCCCACCTCTCTGGCTGTGCCGCTCATAGGTAGGTAGACGTAGTGGCTTGGTTTGTTCTGGTCAATTATTTCATTGACGTGTTGTTAGTACTGCATTTTGTTATTCCATGTGGGTAATTCTTCCTCTGTGTGTGTATGTTGGAGGTTGTGTGTGAGTGTGTGCTCGTCCATGACTGTGTCTCTGAATGGTGGATGGATATACTTACTGCACGTGTGTTAGAGGGGTAATCAGTATCATTACCTAACCAGCCTCTCCTCTCCTCTCCTCTCCTCTCCTCTCCTCTCCTCTCCTCTCCCCTCTCCTCTCCTCTCCATCTCCTCTCCTCTCCTCCCTCTCCTCTCCTCTCCTCTCCTCTCCTCTCCTCTCCTCTCCTCTCCTCTCCTCTCCTCTCCTCTCCTCTCCTCTCCTCTCCTCTCCTCTCCTCTCCTCTCCTCTCCTCTCCAGGTAAATACCTGATGTTCACTATGGTATTGGTCACCTTCTCCATCGTGACCAGTGTGTGTGTCCTCAACGTTCACCACCGCTCCCCGTCCACCCACCGCATGCCTGACTGGGTCAAACGCCTCTTCCTGCTCCGCCTCCCCGCCTTCCTCCTCATGAGACGACCCGGGAACAATAACGTCCGGGAAAAACTTCGCCGGAAGCACGCCACTACCGCTGCCGGGAACACCACCTCCGGGAACACTGGGAATTCCCGAGGCGGGGTGAAAAAGCGGCATTCCGACATCAGGCTGGGAGGAATCCAGACAGACTCAGACTCGTTCTATGTTAACGAGGATTCAGCACAGAAGTTCAGCTGGAAGGTGGGAGACGTGTCGGGGGACGGAGGTATTCCGGGGTTCAGGCGTCGCGTGGCGGTCCAGTGGGACGCTGACCTGGAGGAGGCGGTGGACGGAGTGAGGTACATCGCTGAACACATGAAGACGGAGGATGGAGATGAAGGGGTGAGGAGGAGGAAGGAGGAGGATGGAGGGTAGGAAGAAGAGAGGAAAATCTACAAAAAGACTGTGTAGATTTGTAATTGGCATATACATATTTTACAATCACACATTCTCTCCTCGTACTCCTCCTTCTTCCCCCGTACACCTCCACCTCTCTCTCCCCTTGTCTCTGTTTCGCCTCTGCTTCTAGTCTGTCACTCTGGCATCCACCTCTCCGCTTAGATAATCAAGGACAAGAAAAAGATAACCCGAATTACACGAAAGCAGTAGCCATCGAGACATGCAGACATGTGAGAGTCTTCGGCTCATCATCTCGCTCTCTATCACTCCTTTTCCTTCCTCTCTATCTATCTCTATCTCCCTCTCTCTCCGATCATCTCCCTCCTATCATAGGATGCGTCTTACTTCTCCCGCTGTTACATACCTTCTACTCCCTTGGGCTCGATGACACCTCTCTCTCCCTGTCTCCTCATCTCTACGCCCCTCTTTCCGCCCCTCCCAACCCTTCTATCTTCCTCCTCCCCTCTCCCGCTCCCCTGTAGATCTAGGCAACTGAGTGATTCAGCATGACACGTAATTTTCCCCCGGGGTTAAGGCCCCCCGGGGTCCGCCCTTTTGGCCCCCCCCCCGGGGGGGTTCCAAAAAAGGGGAAAAAGGAAAGGGGGGAAAACCCCCCCCGGGGGGAAAATGTTCCTGACGGTAAAAACGAGCATTGGATGGACTTTTCCGCAAGGGCGGGGGGAAAGGAAACAACACGATGTGAACGGAGAAGCCGCTCGCGAAGATGGAGACGTGTGGGGGTGCGGGGAATCTGTCGAGCATCGCGGGGAAACTGGGAACTGAAATGGAAGACGGAGGACAGGAGACGACAGGACTAGGTGAAGTGAGAGAGGAGGAGATGAAGGCCGGAGGAGGGGAGGAGGAGGAGGATGGGGAGAGGAGGGGGAAGGAGAGAGGGCAAGAAGGAAGTGCGACAATGAAGGGGGGAGAGAGGGAAGGGGAAGGAGATAGCAGAGGGAAAAGCACACAGTAGCGAGCGCGGAATAAGTCCTGCACACGACGGGACATGGACCGAGAGGACAAGGGCGTGGAGAGCCGAGAGGAAGAAGCGAGAGAGGCGAGGAGAGAGCGAGAGCAGAGCGGCGAGCGCGAGAGCACTAGAACGAAGAAGAGCTAGAGAAAGGCTACAACCTAAATCCGATCTGTCCTATCGCTCTCCATCGAGCCAACTCGCTAACACAGCCCTCTTACTCAAGAAATGCATCACCCCACCTCCATACCTCTCACACCTTCTCTCACCTATATACCCTCTCATACCTCTTCTACCGCCAACCCCCCTATCTTCTTCTCTCTCCCTCTATCCCCTGCTCCCCCCCCCTGTAGATCATAGAGGACTGGAAGTATGTAGCGATGGTAATTGACCGTCTGTTCCTATGGATCTTTATCCTGGTGTGTGTGGTGGGAACCCTGGGTCTCTTCATGCAGCCCCTTTTCCAGAGCTATAACACTCCTACTGCAGACAGCAATGAGTGAGTCACACACACACACACAGAGGGGATGACGTACACACACAGGCACGCACACAGACTTGCAAATAGACACACACACACACCTGAATATTGACACAAATTAATACACAAACTAATACAAACACATGCAGACATGGTCACATAAACAGATTAAATTCACATAAATACAATAACATTGCTAAAACTCAACTCTCTTCTATATTCCCATATCATTCTAATATTTCTCCTCTCTCAGGTATGGTGATTTCTGAGAGCCCCTGGGAGTGGGCGTTGGAGAGGGAAACCCCGTAGCAGCTAAACAGGACCGCTGTCCTACGAACTCTGGAGCAACCTGTGCCAAAGCCAGCACCGTCAGTAGAAGTTCTCCTCTCGTCAGTACCTTATGAAGCATTATAAGGCATTATAGAGGTACTATACGGTACACTGGATCTCTCTCTCTAACTCTCTCTGGGCTCTCCACTCTTCAAGCCAAGATAGATCTCAACTAACAGCAGGATGCTTTCAGTTTCTCTTCTCTTCTCTTCCATCGTCATCAACTATTATTGTACAGTGTCTCTTTCGTTTGTTTGTTTGTTTGTTTGTTCGTTCGCTCTCTCTCTCTCTCTCTCTCTCTCTCTCTTTCTTTCTGTCTTTCTTTCTTTCTTTCTCTCTCTCTCTCTCTTGTTCTCTCTCTCCTTTTGAGGAAGATTTAACTTGGACGCACTTTGAACTGTGTTCTCCTCTTTAAGAGAGTGTACAGTAGTTGCAAATGCATTGTCTTATTTTTTGAAAATGTGGGTATCTTCTCTCTCTCTCTCTCTCTCTCTCTCTCTCTCTCTCTCTCTCTCTCTCTCTCTCTCTCTCTCTCTCTCTCTCTCTCTCTCGTCTCTCTCTCTCTCTCTCTCTCTCTCTCTCTCTCTCTCGTTTTGAAGCCATATCACTTGCAGTAGCCTATCAAAAGGAAAGGCCTAAGACTCGATGCTTAAAGTTAAAGGAAGAAACCTCATTTGAAGGACTGCCAAATGTCATTGTGAAGAGACTTGTTATGAAAAGATGGTTTGGTTTTTAAAAGACTGATGATCACACCGCTTCCCTAGTTCCACACAACACAACACACACTCTGCTTACTGTGGTTGAATAACAACTGAATGAAAACTGAAGTTAAACCTGTAAGTATGCTACTCTACTTCCCACATATCTGAGTACATGGCTGAGTCTAAAATGGCACCCTATTCTCTATATAGTGCACTATCTAGGAAACAGGGTGTCATTTTGGATGTAGCCCATGTTCCAGGATTCAGCTGGGACGTTCACTTTGTGTCTGCCTTAATAATAGATGAGTACAGCTAATGACGATAGACTAATTATTATTAGAGGAATAATTCAACGATTTTAGAACCAGGATATTATTGATTCAAAATCAATATGAAATCTGGACAAGAACAGCATAGGATCCTTTTTATTACGTCAAATAAAATGCTTTAAAAAAAAAACACTTTCAGTCTGTTTTACTGACGTGTGTGTGTGAAAGCATGGGGTAAATACTAGGGCAGCGTCCCAATTGGCACCCTGTTGGGCCCTGGTCAAAACAAGTGCACTACGTAGGGAATATGGTGCCATTTGGGACGCATCCTAGAGACACAGAGGAGCCGTGGAAAGAGAAACAACTTGATTCACGTCTTCAGGATGAGAACTGGTCATTCTGAATGGCATTCTCAGTATGAAAAAAAATATGTATACACTCACTAACTGTAAGTCGCTCTGAATAAGAGCGTCTGCTAAATGACATTAAAAAAATAATAAAAATTCACAAGATGTGTTTAGTCTAACTGAGATGCAAGGAAAAATTCCCCAAATATGTCATAAGCATTTATAAACAAATACTAATAAACATGAGCGTATTATGTGAAGTTGAATACAGTAACATTCCCATGTAGTTTTAGAGGTAAAGTTGAAATCTGGGGAATGTCTAGTCAAGAATGTCTGGTCTTGTCCTGCTGTGTTTCCCTTATAGGGGTGATGGGGCCGGGAGGAAATGTTTTCCAAACCAATGTACCAATCTCTTGGCTTTCCATCTCCTGGTCCTTTCTGAACAATCTGTCAACTGTCAACCTTCAGTCAGCATCTCTTAATGATGAACGGTTCACATGGTTGTGTCTCCTTTTCGAGGCTCTTTTAAAAAGTTTCCTACACCCTCTGAGTACTGAGGCATATTTTGGACAGCTAACTGTGTGTGTGTGTGTGTGTGTGTGTGTGACAACAGTTCTTATCTAGACTCTGTGCCTGTATCATACACTGCTCAAAAAAATAAAGGGAACACTTAAACAACACAATGTAACTCCAAGTCAATCACACTTCTGTGAAATCAAACTGTCCACTTAGGAAGCAACACTGATTGACAATACATTTCACATGCTGTTGTGCAAATGGAATAGACAACAGGTGGAAATTATAGGCAATTAGCAAGACACCCCCAATAAAGAAGTGGTTCTGCAGGTGGTGACCACAGACCACTTCTCAGTTCCTATGCTTCCTGGCTGATGTTTTGGTCACTTTTGAATGCTGGCGGTGCTTTCACTCTAGTGGTAGTATGAGACGGAGTCTACAACCCACACAAGTGGCTCAGGTAGTGCAGCTCATCCAGGATGGCACATCAATGCGAGCTGTGGCAAGAAGGTTTGCTGTGTCTGTCAGCGTAGTGTCCAGAGCATGGAGGCGCTACCAGGAGACAGGCCAGTACATCAGGAGACATGGAGGAGGCCGTAGGAGGGCAACAACCCAGCAGCAGGACCGCTACCTCCGCCTTTGTGCAAGGAGGAGCAGGAGGAGCACTGCCAGAGCCCTGCAAAATGACCTCCAGCAGGCCACAAATGTGCATGTGTCTGCTCAAACGGTCAGAAACAGACTCCATGAGGGTGGTATGAGGGCCCGACGTCCACAGGTGGGGATTGTGCTTACAGCCCAACACCGTGCAGGACGTTTGGCATTTGCCAGAGAACACCAAGATTGGCAAATTCGCCACTGGCGCCCTGTGCTCTTCACAGATGAAAGCAGGTTCACACTGAGCACATGTGACAGACGTGACAGAGTCTGGAGACGCCGTGGAGAACGTTCTGCTGCCTGCAACATCCTCCAGCATGACCGGTTTGGCGGTGGGTCAGACATGGTGTGGGGTGGCATTTCTTTGGGGGGCCGCACAGCCCTCCATGTGCTCGCCAGAGGTAGCCTGACTGCCATTAGGTACCGAGATGAGATCCTCAGACCCCTTGTGAGACCCACCTGCTGGTGCGGTTGGCCCTGGGTTCCTCCTAATGCAAGACAATGCTAGACCTCATGTGGCTGGGGTGTGTCAGCAGTTCCTGCAAGAGGAAGGCATTGATGCTATGGACTGGCCCGCCCGTTCCCCAGACCTGAATCCAATTGAGCACATCTGGGACATCATGTCTCGCTCCATCCACCAACGCCACGTTGCACCACAGACTGTCCAGGAGTTGGCGGATGCTTTAGTCCAGGTCTGGGAGGAGATCCCTCAGGAGACCATCCGCCACCTCATCAGGAGCATGCCCAGGCGTTGTAGGGAGGTCATACAGGCACGTGGAGGCCACACACACTACTGAGCCTCATTTTGACTTGTTTTAAGGACATTACATCAAAGTTGGATCAGCCTGTAGTGTGGTTTTCCACTTTAATTTTGAGTGTGACTCCAAATCCAGA